AGCACCACTAGTGTGTTTTAGTAAACTCGCTAAGCATTATCAAAAAAAAATTTTATTTAAATATTTTAAATTTAAAAATTTTTTATAATAAAATATTTTAAATATACTATTGTATATATAAAACATATCCCATATCATTATAATTTTAAATTTATTTAAAAATTATAAATACTTTTCTAAACAGTATATAATTGTTAAATATTTATTTATTATATTTTAATATGTGTTTAATAAACAAGAATAAAAATAAAATATAATTATATTTTAATATGTGTTTTAATAAACATGAATAAAAAAATATATATAATAAAATTAATACAATATATTTTTTATGATTATTATAAAATAACCAGATTTTATACAAATTTTATTTTTAAATTTTTAAATTGTAAAAAATAACTTTGTACTGTAGTATTCTTTTAAAATAATAAATAATAAATCGGATGATGGTAAAATTTTTGAAAATATAAACCCTAAATTCTAACCTAACATTAAAAAAAAAAGCTAGGATAATGCACCCTAAAAGAATTCTAAAATTTCATATTAAATTAGATCCAAATTTCACCACCATCCAATTTCACGATCGTCCGTGACAATAAATATTATATTAGTTAATAAAAAAAAAAATTATTAATAATAAAAAAAAAAATCAAATTTTTAAAAAAATATTTTTGTAAATTTCTTTGTTTTTTTTTTAGCCAAGTACATACGTATCAAAAAATGGAAATGGTACAGCTTAGGTCATCGACCAACATAACGATGATCCCGATAACCCGTTAATCTGATGCACAAAGTATGTAAGTATATACATAGAAATTACCTTTTTAATAAGAAATGTTTTTTTCCAAAACTCCCAAAAGCTGTTTATACGTAAAACATATCCGTGGATACTTATAAACACATTGCATAAATAGCAATTACCTTTTTAATATATTTAATTTGAAAGTTAATTTGTAAGTTGAAAAAGTTACGAAATTTAACATTTATAGAAATTTATTTAGCCAATTTAACTTTTGGGCTTTTTTTTTAAATTAAATTATGATACAAAAATTTACTCTAACACTTGACTACCTAGGAATATACAGAGGACTCTATTAGATCAGACTCAGACACATGATCTTAGAACTTGAGGATATATATACACATAGCGAATATCAAAAGATACGTACGTATTAAGAAAGGTAATTACATTTATCAACCGTAACAATAATTAACCCTTTAAAAATTTAACGTTATTAGAGTATTAAAATTTGTTGATTTGAAATACAATTTGTACAACAAATTTCAATCAAAAATTGCCGTTTAAAGACTTATATGGTTAGTTGAATAACGATAAGTATTTTAGCTCATGAAACCTTATTTTATCATGTTGCACCTTCAAATTATTCGTTAACTTAAAAGATGTGAACCGTTGCACGAATCGTCATTAGGACTCTCGGTGTACGGATGTACAGTGGAATTTTGTAGAAAAATTATTTCCTAATGCAGTAATGTGACCTCAAAATAACATAAATACTGAAATAGTGAAAACGACAAATGATCAATTTACGAAATGGATTCTTCAATTATTAATAAAACGATCAAAGATTATGGAATCCATTTTTGTAATTATAATGAATTTACAAACATTGAAAAAATTGATGAAGGCGGATATGGTACAATACAAAAGGCATACTGGAAACGTCGTGGGTTAACAGTTGCATTGAAAAGTCTTAAAGTTGGAGATGAGAAAGTCGGTATTAAATCATTTATAAAAGAGGTTAGTAATGTATGACTTTTATTCTATAAAAATTTGAATATACTGTACACTCTCCCAAATACCATTACGAAGGTACTTTTGTATTATACTAATATGTTTATTAATGCAAAAGTAGTTCGAAAAATGAGTGCATTAAATAAATGAATTATTTACTTATATTTATATACAATATAATTTATATATTTAGCTTCAGATACTGTTTAATATCACGAAGCATTATCATCCTAATATTAATCAATTTCATGGAGTAGCCAAAGATGAGAGTGATCAATATTATTTAATCCTACAATATGCGAATAATGGAAATTTACGAGATTACTTAACGAAAACTAAAGATCTTTCTTGGAATGATAAATTACGTATGGCAATACAAGTTGCGAAGGGTCTCATACATTTACATGAGAATCAACAAAAAATTATTCATAGAGATCTGGTAAGAATTAAATTAAAAAATATATCTCATTCTCAAGTAGATTGTACCGAATCCCATGATTTTTCGACATATTTTATTGAAACTCTATTGTAAATAGATTTACATTTCGACAAGCTCATTGTTAGTATAAATATGAGTTCTATAAAGCTATAACAATATTATATTTTAGCTTTATGGAACTTCAATTTTCAATAATGTCAGTTTTGAATATAAATGCGCTTTGCAATTTTATTCACAACACTAAAATATAATGTTGTAATCATGAGATTTATGCAATAATAAGGATTACTATCAAAAATTTGAAAAGAATTTAACGAGTTCAATATTATCTATTTTACAGCACTCTAAGAATATATTAGTAAATAATGGAACAATGATGATAGCCGATTTTGGTATATCTAAAGAGTGGAAAAACCAAATGATGACTACAAAAGGTGATACCGGTCCTGGTATACCTGCTTACATGGACCCGAAATTCCTTTCCGATCACAAATTTATGCGTGATGAAAAATCCGATGTCTACAGTTTTGGAGTTCTTCTCTGGGAAATTTCAAGCGGTCGGCCACCTTTTGCATCCTGTACAGGCAGAGATGAAGTAATATATAAGATTTTTAAAGGAATGAGGGAGACACCAGTGGAAGGTACGCCAAAAGACTATGTTGATCTGTACACACGTTGTTGGGATGAGGAACCGGACAATCGGCCTAGTATCCAAGAAGCATTTGAAATTCTACAGCATATGTTTTCAGAAGGGGAAGATAATGAACTGGAATCTCAAATTTCAAAATTATCATTGGTTGAAAGTCCGACAATTTCTGGTGAATCTCGAGAAGTTTCAGAAGTTTCAGAAGTACAACAGCATAAAACTCTAACAATTTCAAGTGAATCTCGAGAAATTTCAGAATTATATGAAATCCCTTCAACAACTTCTAATGAATCTAAAGTTGATTCACAAGAAGAACCTGAAGAACCTGAAGAATATTTAATAAAAAAAGAAAAGTTTGATCAGATTATTAAATGGATTGATCAATCAAAAAAACATAAATTTACTATTAGAAGGCTTCTTCCGTCATCAAGTTCATATGATTATGAATTTAAACTGCTACTTAAAGGTAGTCGTGATGGATTTACTCCGGATGTCTTCCATAAAAAATGTGATAACCAAGGACCTACTTTAATAATCTTGAAAGTTAAAGATGAGAATGAAATTTTGGGTGGATATAATCCATTTAGTTGGGAATCACCAATTGAAGAAAAATATTATTACACGAGTCAAAGTTTTCTTTTTAAATTTTTTGATAACTCTGATAGATTTGTACTTAGTAGAGCAAAGAATCATGAATCAATTAAATCATCAGTATCTTATGGACCATATTTTCGAAGCGATTTACGGATGGAAAACGAGTTTAACAATAATGGGTGTGCTTGCTATCGTTGGTATTATGAAAAACAAATTAGAGAATCGGAAGATTATTTTTCTGTTGATGATTATGAGGTTTTCAAAGTCATAAAAAAGTCTAAGAAAAAATCTGGTTAAATAAGAATAACAAATTTATATTGTATTGTATAATTAATTCTATTTGTATTTTATAAATAAATATATAGTGCGGGTTAACTATTTATTTCAAAATATTTGTATAATCATTTATCTGGATTTAATTTTTCTAATATTTAATGTATTATATTGTTAAAATTCGATATCTTATATTAGTTTATACTCTTTCCGGAGGGGTGGTAAATGACCTCATGGCTCAAATGATCAGTGTTAGTGGCAAAACCGCCGCACCGAATTCGTCATCACAAGACCTGAAACGTGACGAATACCCGATTCGAAGCCCCAGGAAATCGTGACAAAAATGTTGTCAAGACGATCCCAAGCAACGAAGAAAAGAAAAATCGGATTTAGGCTGGGGTGGTGTTGAAAGCTTAGTCTGAGGAGGCAAGCAATGATGGCGCGGTATGGCGTGATGTGGCATGATGGCTTGGGTTTAGCGGAAAAAGTTCTATCTTGCCCCCGCATTTAAATTGTTATATAAATGGCTTGTTTCGCAAGGATAAGTTGTGTGCGGGCATAAAATCATGTTAGAGTCGTTTTTTATACCCGATACGCATTACTTTGCCAAATCTTACCGCCTCTACGTATCGAGTATATTGGGTGGTGTTGGGTTTGTTTTGTGTAGTTCTGGTTAGAGATTGGAACCAGTGAGTTTCGAGCATTGATTGATCACAAACTCTAGAATTTCGAGCATTGGTAAAAAAATTTTGACCGATGTTTGAATATTTGATGAATTTTTAAAAAAATTTAGTAATATTTATTAATTGTACTACTATCACTACATTTTAAATATATAATTTATTATATAATCATGTTATCGCTATCAAAGTTAAATTTCAATCAAAAAATGTATCATTATGTTAACATTATAAAAACAAATTATTAAATTTTAACATTCACTGATGCTCGATGATAACTGAATTAAAAACTCAGTGAATGAAAGCTTATTTTTGATGCTCAAACTTTTTGACCGGTTCCAATCTCTAGTTCTGGTGGTGATTGGTCAGCCCGTGTTGCCGACCAGTCCCCGCTAACACCAGTCATTGTCACTTTAAAGGTGGAACGACCTATTGGATTATTTAAATATTTTATATTTTTTTGTACGTTAGAATGGAATATTGCTATTCTGCGTCAATCACAATTCTCAATCGACACGTGTTATTATCAATCTCCACCATTGAAGAGTAACTTAGATGGATTTTTTAATATACAGATTTATAGTAAAATAGTAATGATGACATGATTTTGTCTTGATATAAAAAAATAAAATTTTGATTTAATAAAAATAAAAAAATTTCTGCCTTTTTTCATCAATAATAATCATGGAACCATAAAGATATAACTTTCTTTCTGAGTCGGGAATCTTTTGATGAATCTTGAAAACCTACGTTAGCCAAAGGAAAAATAAATGCTATTTAGTGGATAGAAGTCACCTCTGTAAGAAATTTTATTCGAGCATTTCTGTTGTAAGTGGAAATGGAATCATAATAGGTTCGGAATCCATCTAGATTAGAATGGAATAATTATACTAAAAATCCTAACCCTAACCCTAAAAATTCAGAATCAACTAAAATTCTGTTCTCACGACATTTGTTTCCATATTTTTCATTATTTTTTGTGAATATGTACCATGGTCGACAAAATCTACAAGTCGAACCGAATAAATCTACATGATTTAAGATTATAAATTCCGTTAATATGCAAAATAAAACAAGGATCTGATGAGTGTTTGAACGTATTAAAAAAATTCCACATCCCATAACCCAAATTTTAAACAAAGATGCTCAAACTTTCACAATTGAAGAGCTTTACTTAATTACGCAGGCCGGAAATAATTTAAGTTACAAATTTGTCCGCTTGGCAATTTTTATAAAATACAGTATACCCGGTCAAACTAGGTATTCATAGTACAGTAGACAAATTTTATATCACTTTTAAAAGGTTATCAGGTTTAAGAGGTCAAAATTATATTAGAAATAGGTATGACGATTGATTTTTTTGATAGAATCAGTTTGGCAGGTTATGCTGTAATTAGCTCCGTGCACCAAGCGACTGAACATACAATTCATTAACTTCAATAATTCTCGAAGGTTTTCTAAACCATGAATCGTTATAGCTGTTTTTATAAGTTCCAGGATTATGCTTATCAGTCAAAAAAAAAAATTCAATTCTCAATATTTTAAATCATTCATAACGAAACTTTTAGTCGATAAAACATAAGCTCAAAATAGCGATCATCGAGACAATATAAATACATTTGACTTTATTATAGTTGTTTAAAAAAATTTTTTTTACAAAACTAATTAATCGACTTAATAGAAAGTGTTAATAGGCATTGTGGTAAGACGGCATTATGGGAAAATATAGCATTATGAATATATGGTATTATAGCACATATTGTAGCGATAAGAAATATTGCAATATATGTGTTAAGGCAAGGTCAGTACGCAATTTGTCAAATAGAAATAATAAATTGTTAGAATATTAAATTCTTAGAACTTTGAATATAATCTATTGGTGCACCCGTTACGAGTTTTAAAGCAGTTTATATGCTGTGTGACTACCATAATTGTTCGAAAAAAAATTGTCACACATATTATGATCAACAGTTGGGACAAAAAATGCTTAGAAACATTTTTAAACCGATATTAGCTTTATGAAATAAAACCAACAATTCCAGATTTTATTGATATAAATTTTGTTAATTAAAGATAATTAATCGTACTTTAAATGAAATATAACAATAATACAATATACAAAATTTAAAAACAAAGACTGCACTTTTAGATTACTGCATCGCAGCACTTAAAATTTTAATCGCACTTAATTTGAAAAAGAGCGACAATCATGTTCCTATTTCATCGTTAATGTGTTACACAATACCATTCGAGATTCGCACAAGGAGTTGGTCAGTAATAAAAAAAAGAAACGTGTTTAGGCACTGAACTAAAATCGTCTAATAACTATTGTCATAATAGAATTTAGCCTATAATTACCGTTAGATAATCTATATATTTGATATAATTTATCGCAGTGGAGCAAGAAAATTGCATAACATGAACCCTAGTCTATTTGATAATGCTCTAAAGGAAAGTAAAATTGATATTTATGACTATAATGAATTCACCATTTTAGAAAAAATTGGTAAAAGCAATTCTGGTTATGTAGAAAAAGCACTTTGGAAAAGTAATGAACGGATAGTTGCCCTAAAGAGTTTGAAAGTTGAAATGGATCTAAGTGAAGATGTTATTCGAGAATTTGTTGTAGAGGTTTGTAGCATTAAAATTCAAAAAAAAAAAATTGTATTAGCTATGGATTCTGGAAATCATTATCACGACTATCAGAAGTTCGACATCCAAAATCTTTAATTTTCTTGTCCAGACAATCTTTTTTTATTCTTACAAATCATCATACAAAAAATTTAATATCTCGATACCAGTTTTATCAGTAATAACGAATGTCGAGATACTAAATTGGTTAGATTTTGGATTATAACTGTCTGAATATAAATTCGATATTGTTAATGTCGGGATTTTAGGATAAAAAAGTGAATAATAAATAAATATATTTTTCAACTATTTCACATATGTTCCATAGCTTCAAACATTACACGAAATCTCAGAAAAGCATCATCCTCACATTCATCATTTTTACGGAATAGCCAAGGACATTGACGAACATTATTTTTTAATATTTCAACATGCGGATAGTAACTTAAGAGATTATTTGAAAGTAAATTTTGAGAAATTTACATGGAATGACAAGCTACGTATGGCAACTGAAATCGCGATGGGTCTTATACACTTACATGAGGATATGAAAAAGGTTATTCACAAGGAACTTGTAAGTCATCTTATTACAATTGTGAACAATTTTAAAAAAAAACTTAATAAATGTTTTATTATTATTATTACTGTATTATTATTATAGCATTCTAAGAACATCTTAGTTCATGAAGACAAAATGTTAATAACTGATTTTGCCATACCGAAGTGGAAAGGTGAACCCACAAATACTACAAGTCATGGAATACCCGCCTATACGGATCCTAGATACCTTGCTAACCATAAATATGAGCTTGATGAAAAATCTAATGTATATAGTTTTGGTGTTATACTCTGGGAAATTTCAAGTGGTCGTCCACCTTTTCAATCATTAAAAGGGAGAGATGAAATAACGTATCAAATCTTTGCTGGGAAAAGAGAAACACCAGTAGAAGGTACACCGGATCCATATGTTCAACTGTACAGCCGTTGCTGGGATGATGATCCTGATAAACGACCAGACATAGGAGAAGTACTTTTCGATCTGCATGCGATAAAAAAATCTGGAATATTAGAGACCCTTCCAACAGGATCTAAAATAAATGCAAAGAACTTGCCAAATGACTATACATTCGGTTCCCCAATATCTTCTTCTAAGAAAGTAAATTTTCTCGATCTAGTGGAGTCTTCTGAACAATTAGAAACCGATAAATCAATTTTAATAAATGATGAGCATTTCAAACTTATTTCTAAATGGATTAACAAAACACCACCCAAAAGTGGAATTATTTCAAAACACCTCGCGCAAATTAAGCCAAAAGTTAAACAAAGCCATGATTTCAAGCTACTTATTAGGGGAAGTCGAGATGGATTTTCACCTGCTGACTTTCATGATAAATGTGATAATATAGGCCCAACACTAACGGTTTTAAAAGTCAAAGACGAAAATGAAATTTTGGGTGGATATAATCCATTTAGTTGGGAATCACCATCGGATATCAAATTTTATTACACACATAAAAGCTTTCTTTTTAGCTTAGATATTGACAAACCAGATAATTCTACACTCAGCAGGGCAAAGCAACATGAATCAGTTACATCATCGAAAGATTATGGTCCATATTTTAGAGGTGATTTAAGTATGTCAAAAAATTTTAAACACGATTGTGATTGTCGTTGTTATAGATGGTATTATGAAAAGTCAATTAGAAAATCTACTGAGAATTTTTCAGTAGAAGAATATGAAGTTTTTCACGTCATCAAAAAGGAATGATTATATTTTGTTGTAAAATATTTAGGTCGTGTATCGTACATTAAAACATAGTATGTTTAACAAACTTCTACATTGTATAACTTATTTTATATATGTTTAATTTAGAATTAAAGTTAAGATCAAAGTTAATTAATTAGAGAATAGGTTAGGTAGCAAAATTTTTTTGAAACATTTTTGATATTAGATTCATCACGGCGAATTTATAAAATTTAGCTAAAATTTGGTCACTAAATCCGTGTACTTTGTCCCTAAATTAAACTTTAGTTACCAAATTACATATTAATAAATCAATACCAAACCCCGAAAAAATTTTTTGAACCTCTGATCTGGACTGATAACGCGTCTAACCCATCTTCCCCACCTTTGTTAGACATATAAATTTATTATAGCGACGCACCCTAACTGGGAAAACATTGATTATCTCGGCAAAAATCTATATTTACATATTAATAGTCAAATTTTTCAAATTTTGGGATATTTCATAAATTCGCCGCAATGTGTGACGTTTCGCCATAAATAAAGACAAGTGTCTGTTCGCATAAAAAAGTCGGTTTACCCCACAATATATCTGATTTAACCTTACCTCGCCAAATCGATACCACCTCTACCCCTCGGGAATATTGTGAGGTGTTGGTTGTGTGTTTTGAGTGGTGATTTGGTAGTTCGCGTCCCTGCCCTTTTGCCATTAATACTACATAATACACGCTGTACCATACAAACTATCACTAATTCTTTTATATATCTTTGCAACGCAATGAGAATATTTTTAATAAATTATTTTTAATAAATTATTTATAATTAGGCAGCTGCGTGACGTTATAGCGCCAAATCAAGTAACGAGATTCTTTATAAATATTTATACGTAATATATCTAGAGGAGATAAAAGTAATAAAGTTTATTCTGTGCCTCACGAAGTCTTATCGTATAATTTCTTTGGCAATAGTTGACTATATAGAATAATTCGTATAGGCATTGTCTCGTAGGAAATACATGCGAGAAAAGTGGACACAGTGATGAATATATTGCTGAAAATTACATTCAATGCTGTTGTGGGGTAAAGTATTGTATTATCTCGAATACACTGGCAATCATAAGTAGTGCAACAAAAAAAAAATTTCACTTACATCATACTACCTCCCGCAATTCCGGGCAT